ATAAGCAAAAAGAAAAAAGCCAGAAGTGGTGCTGTGGCTCAAGTGGTAGAGCACTAGCCTTGAGCTGAAGAGCTGAGGGACAGCACCCAGGCCCATTGTTCAGGCCCCACGACCGGACAAAAAAAAAAAAAGTAAAAAAAAAAAATACACTTAGATTCTATTTGCCTAGAAAAATAATTACTGGCACTAAATCCATTAAGCTTCTCAAGTTCTAAACCAAATTGAATTAAACATTTTAAAATTTGTTTTTAGTACTGGTACTGAACTCAGAGCTTCACACTCTTGCTTGTGAGTTGCTTTTTGTTCTTTTTTCTTCTGCTCAGGTCTGGTGTTGTACCACTTGAGCCTCAGCTCCATTTCCAGCTTTTTGCTGGTTACCTGAAAATTAGGGTCTCATAAATTTTTCTGCGCAGGATTCCTTTGCAATGTAATCTGTGAACCACTAGTTAGTGGTCCACCTGGTTTTTTTTCCTTTTCTTTTTTTTTTAAACAATAAGTATAGAACTCTCTGTCTTTTCATATATTGCAAGTGGATTTCATTGGTTGTTTTTCACTATTCTATGCAGCTATAATATACGGCAATCAGAAAGGGATAAACAAAGCAACTGAAATCTCAACAAGCTTGACCACCTTTGGAAGGGCTTACATATGAACACTTATTTAAAGAACTTGAGCTCCTACTTATGTCTCATGTCCACTCAGTATCATCCCAAGGACAAAGACAGCGAGTGCACAGCTGCAGAGACCTTGCTCAGCTCAGATGGCCTGGGTTTGAGTGTCAGCTTGTCCTTGTGCTGTCTGGGCTGAGAAAATTTAGCCTTCTGATCTTCAGTACCCTCTGCTGTAACATGGGGATATTAATAATCTCCCTGCTTAGGACTTTGAGAGGATAAAATTAAATGATGCCCAGTGGTTATAATTTGGTAGTTATGTCTCTTCCCTTTGAGTGTTTTCCCAACATTTTCTCCTTTTTCATGATGTCCTCTTCCTCTTTTTTTTTTTTAATACAGGGCTTCATTATGTAGCTCAGGCTGGCCTCAAACCTGTGACCCTCCTGCCTCAGTTTCCCCCAGTGCTGAGATTACAGGTGATAGCCAACTTCTTTTTCTAGTTTCTTTTTCTTCTTTCTGTTGCTCTCCTTTCTTTTTCTCCTCCTCCTCCTTCCTTCCTCTCCTCTCTTTCTCCTCCCCCCACCCCCTTCTCCTCCTTCTTAACTTTGGCAGTATCTTTTAAGATCCTATAAAGACTTCATTTTTCTGAGGACAATGGGAGCAGCCTGGCTACTTGCCTCCTGATGTTTCTTCTCCAATTATACCACCCAATACGAAACAAAAAGCAAATCTCCATGGAAACCAGGCTTTCAGCATAACTTGAAGATGGTAAAATGTCAAAAACACCCAAAAAGAAAAAAAAAAACCCAAAAACCGCCAAAAAGCACAAAAACAAAATCAGAGCGATTACCCTTAGCAATGCATAAGCTCCCTTGCCTGTGCCCCACCAACAAAAGTTCACTAAGAGAAAACTGCAGGGGAGACAGAGGGAAGAAGCTGCCCAGTGCTCTCCCACCCAGAAAGACGAAATCCACTTGAATCTGATTTGAAAAGCACCTGGGCAGAGCAGAGTGCAGACCACAGAGAAGGGCTTCCAGGTGTTCAGAATTTATTTGTTTATATTTATGCTTGTAGTTTATTTATTCTTGTGCTGGTTCTGGGGCTTGAACTCAGGACCTGGGTGCTGTTCCTTAGCTTTGGGACTCAGGGCTAGCACCTTATCCCTTGAGCCGCAGCTCCACTTCCAGCATTGTACTAATTAATGGGAGTTAAGGATCTCACAGACTTTTCTGCCCACCCCTACACAATCTGTCTACGTTGATTCTGAGTCTTCCCCCTCCTCTGTACCATGGGGACATGAAATACTGTTGCACTTACTCCCTGGACAGGCAGCTCTTCCCCTGACTCCTCCTCTTGGTCACTTCCATCTCTACCTTTTATTTGTTTTTTTCCCTCTAGTTCTTCTGGTTCAGGATCAAAGTTGAATGTAAAGAAGTTATAGGCCTCTTCTGCTGAAGGGAAGCCAGGAGGAGCCTGGAGGAAAGCAAAGAAGAGCTTCTTATATCCAAAAGAATGAGCTGGCAGGGAACAAGCAACTCCCAGCTGGCTCCCGAACGCTGCCATACACTACATTCTAACCGTGATGTCTCTGTCGAAGGTGAGCTGGATTACCAGTGGTGGCTTTTAACAATAGCGATAGGCAGTAGGAGGTGTAAAATATGAACTCCTCTAGCAGCAATTATTTACACTGTAATAAGCACATAGAACTTTAGAAAAGGTTCTTCATGTGGCAAAAATGGATCATTTTCATTAGAAATATAAATTTTAACTTTTAAAAAATAAGTTACCCTTTCTTTTTAATTTTTCTTGAATCGGTATCTTCCTTTCTTCTTGATTTTATTTTTTAGTGTTAGAACTTGAACTCAGGGCCTTGCACTTGCTAAGTAGGCATTTAGTCTTCCTCTTGAGCTAACCACCTCCCCCCAGCCCTTTGTGCTTTGGTTATCTTACAGATAGGATCTTGCCTTGTATTTTTTCCAGCCAGGCCTCAGTCTGAAGTCTTCTCACATATGGCTTCCTGAGTAGCTGAGATCACAAATGTGAACTACCATGCCCAACTTAGTGGTTGAGATGTAATCTCCCTACCTTTTTGCTGGGCTAACATGCACTCTCCGTTCTGATCTCCACTTCCTGGCATCTGGCATTACACAGTACTTCTCACCTGGGTTTTAGACTTAGTTTTTCGAACAGGATCACGGAACTTTACTCTTGAATAACTCTGGGAATCTTCTTGTTGCGTCCCTTGCACCTCTTTACCTGGCTACGTGAGTGGAAAAAATAACAGATAAGCTGGTTAAGCAAAGAGAAGGAAGAGAGTTTAATGTATATCTTCTGACCATTGATACATCTCACTCACAGGAGTAAAATATATACAAGCTTCAATTACACCTGAAGGTGAAGGTTGCTGAATCTTTCTCAACCTTGTCTCTCTTAAGGCTAAACAAATATAAAACTATATCCCCCATAAGAATAAAAACAAGTGTTATTTCATCCTGTAGATCGAGGACTATCCATTTTACAGAAGATAACTTCTGAACCATCTATTAAATAATTACCCCTAAAGTTTGATGTAAATATACATAGTCTACCTGGCACCAAGTTTGTGCTTCTTACTATGGCATGATTTTTCTCTTACATGTCTACTTTCTGTGTCTATAAATGTGATTGTGAATGTTTTATTTTAGTCTACTTGAAAATCAGAGCTTGAAGCAAGGGCTTTTTGAGCTTGATTTTGAGAACTGATTCCAAAAACAGGAGTTATGGGCTGGGGAAAAGATAACGGCCCTGAAAGTCAATTCAAGAGAATATTGTTAAGCTGGTGACTGAAACAGGAAAGTCATCACAAGGCTATGTAGAATGCTTCTCCGAATTTTATCTCCTTAGAACATAGAAAAGGGAGAGATTTGTTCCTTAAGTAATTAAGGCTGGCCCCTGGGGGTGTTGAGCCTCTGGTGCTTCTAAGAGTCTGAGTATGTTTGGTGTTTTCATGAGAATGACTCGGGCTTGCAGAAGAGCAGACAAAACCCTGGGATGAAAGCTAAGGGTGCTTGGTACAGCTAAGGTGAAATGAGCCAAAATCTGGCCCAAGTAAAGCCAGGACTGGAATATGTGGTAGGATATAATTGACTACAATAAGCACAGAAACTATATAGTATGTAAAATTCTACACTTGTCTATTTTCTCATTTGGTCTTGTTCCTAGGAACTAGTTAGCTTCCAGCTCACTTATAGGAAAGTTGAAGTTCTGCTCCTAGTTACAATCCACAACGCAATGTGAAGTGAAGGACTCGGTTGTTTGTCTCGGTGAGTTCCAGAATTTTAAATGTGGTTTTGAGGAGGAGGAAAGAAGCAGGTGAGAATTCCATTGTATAAGGGTAAATAAAGAATAAGAGCAGATCTAGAGTAGAATAAAGATTGGGTTGCTACAGTTGGTCAGGAGAGTTTTCCAAGATTCTGCCAAGTCTTCCTCATGACATAGAGCTGTGGCTGCTTTACACACTTTGGATGATGCCCTTCTATTCTTGTCCACTTTAGAATCCCAAAAGCAGATGGGATTGTTTCCACTGAGGGAAACAAAGCAAGAGGTGAACCCTGGAGAAAGGAGAGAATTCTGGCTTTGCCTAAGAGAGCTATGGGTTGCAGAGATCTGACAATAAAACACAGGGTCAGGCAGACAAATCTATAAGAGTTGAGAATAATATAGGTTAAAATAATAGTAATGATAACAATAATAAAAATAAGTGGTTATATGGAGATTGGCTATTTTACTTTATCTTTGTTTCTTTCTATCTTTTCTACACTGGTTTGACAAAGAAGATAATTCCATGACTGTGTTTTGTCACAGAACTGATGGCTTTATTACAATATATGAGGAATTGATAAAGTTTATAATACTGCTTGTCAAAATCTAAAAAAATTAAAGGAGAAAGCTTATGCACATTTGAGGCCATTAAATATGCTTAAAATTAGTTGCTAAATTATTTTTTGTCTTTTTATCCAAATATTTGGCTTGAACACATGGCCTGGGTGCTTGCTGTCCCTTAGCGTTTTTGCTCAGATCTGGCACTCTACCACTTGGGCCACAGATTTACTTCTGACTTTTTGGTGATTAACGGGAGGTAAGAGTCTTATGGACTTTTCCTGGACTGCCTTCAAATGATGACCCTCACATCTCAACTTCTTGAGTAGCGAGGATTACAGGCATGAGCTATAGGCACCCAGAGATAAATTAACTTTTAAAGAAATATAGGAACAATGTATGTGTAGTCTTAAAGGAATTACTTTCAGTTTCATCCAACAATCAAATATTGAATGCCTAACATCACATGTGCTTACATCTAGCTAAGAATCTTTCTCATCTTTAAATTGGTTGTATCTTCCAAGAAGTTTCCACGAACTTCTAACTTGAACTGGGCAATGTTGCCATATTACTTTTATTACAGTATAATTATAAAATAGATCAGTTTTAACCCTCATCTCCAAACCACTAATCAACATCTGCCTATATCTATCTATCTATCTATCTATCTATCTATCTATCTATCTATCTATCTATCTATCTATCTATCTATCTATCTTTCTATCTATCTATCTATCTATCTATCTATCTATCTATCTATCTATCTATCTATCTATCTATCTATCTATCTATCTATCTATGGGCAGTACTGGGATTTGAACTCGGGGCCTTGATAGGTAAGTGCTCTACCACTTGAATCTGCCCCCACCCATTTTTTGCTCTGGTTTGTTTTTCAGATAAAGTCATACACTTGGCCAGCCTTAGACTGAGATCTTCCAACTCCACCTCCTGAAAAACTGAGATTACAAGGGTGATAACCATGCCAGGTGCTACAGTGATACTTAGTCTCAATACTAGTTCTGATACAAATCAAGTTGCCTGATTTAAGAATAAACACTCTTTCTTGTGTTTTTGGGTTTGTGTGTTTTTCTTGATGATATCCTCTAAGGCACAGAAAAATTTAACTTTGGTGTCCAATCTATTTATTCTTTCATTACTTATGTGTTTGGTGCCATATTCTTTTTTTTTTTTTTTGTCAGTTGTGGGGCCTGAACTCTGGGCCTGGCACTGTCCCTCAGCTCTTCAGCTCAAGGCTAGCAGTATGCCATTTGAGCCTCAGCTCCACTTCCGGCTTTTTCTGTTTATGCGGTGCTGAGGAATCGAACCCAGGGCCTCATGCATGCAAGGCAAGCACTCTACCACTTCCCAGCCCCTGGTGCCATATTCTTAAAGAGAAAAATTGCCTAATTCAAGATACTTAAAAATTTTATGCAACCCATATCTAAGGCTGGAGTTAGGTGTTATTTGTCTGGGCTACTAAGGAGCTGAACTATTCAGTACCTCTACTGTCTGTCACCCCACAGAACAACTCCAGAAGAGCAGATTTTTCTTCACACTGCTGTGTAATCAGAGCTACACCATCCCTGGCAGGAAAGACTTGGCTGTAAATGCTGGCTTTGGGGTGGTTAGTTGGCCAGTAGGTAGGCTGTGTGAAAAACCAGATGTTGGGTCTCATGGGAGAAAGCAGGGAATACACATGGAGAAAATGTGATCCTATTTAGTGGTGACTATGTTGTTCTATAAGGCTTCTTTGATACTGACATTTGTTCATGTGTTACAAGGCTGCAGAGCATGAAGGGAGAGGAAATGTAAGACTGCCAACAGTGGCTGTCTTGGGGGAACTTGACCTGTGGGCCAAACATTCGCAGCGTGTTCTTTTCTCTTGGACTTCAGCCTCTGACAATGGCTCATACTTGAGAGCACTTACCCTGTGCTGGGGACTCTCTGAAATACTGAGAACAAGGTTGCTTGTAATCCACAAAACCACACAGAGAATTTGGTTCTGCCTCTGTCCCTTTGCACAGGACTAGAAATGGGTCCAGAGAGTAGAGAAGCCACATGTGAAAGGAAAGAGATTCCATTTCTCACCTCGGTGCCAAATTCCGTCTCCAACTCCCTGGAACTGGGGCTTCGCAGGCGCCTGGGTTTGGGGATAGGTATTTCCTGCAACAACGCACTTTCTGCCTTGGACTGCAAAGTCAAAACAGGGAAATTACTGCTAGATCACTCCAGGAATGCTACAAAGGCTCGCTTGCCGTCTCAACCGAGCATAATTGGTAAGAAATGTGTGCTGTCTCTTTTTAAGAGCCGGGGAAATCACTGAGAAGAATGACATTCTCATCCGTCATTTTCACCTGATCAATGCAAAATCCGTATTCACACTCAGAATTTGACAGAGAAATTGAAGGAGGTCCACATCTGTGCTGTCTGCAGGGTAGCAAGCAAGCCAGGCTAAACCCTGCGAGACTACGGTGAGCCCGAATCATGCCATTTAATGCCGCTGCCCCTTACCCTGGCGGCCTGAAGCTTCTCCCGCATGCGTTCTCTCATGGAAAATTCTGCAAAGCCTGTTCTGGAAGCTGAAGGAATTGGAGGTAAGCCTTAAAAGCAAGAAAAGAAAATTAAATGTTTAAGAGCTAGGAATGTAGTTCAATAGAGCTACCAACTATAAAGTCCTGACTTCAATCCTAACACACACACACACACACACACACACACACACACGGAAAAGGAAAATTAGTTTAAACCTAGATTTCCCTCCCTCCTTCCCTCCTTTTCTTCTTCCTTTCCTTCCTTGCTTCCTTCTTTCTTCCTCCCTCCCTTCCTCCCTCCCTCCCTTCCTTCCTTCCTTCCCTTTCTCTCTCTCTCTCTTTCTTTCTTTCTTTCTCTCTTTCTTTCTTCCTTCCTTCCTTTCTTACTAGTACTAGGGTTTGAACTCAGAGCCTGGCCACTTGTCTCTTAGCTTTTTTTTGTTGTTATTGTTCAGAGACAGGACTCAAACTCACAATCTTAACAATTTCACTCATTGGCTGAGCTTCTACCACCTGAGCCATACTTCCAACCCCACCCCTTAGCTTTTTGGCCCAAAGCTGGCATTCTACCATTTTAACCACAGCTCCACTGCTGGATTTTTGGTGGTTAATTGGAGAGAAGATGCTCATGGAGTATCCTGCCTGGACTTTCTTATGTCTTTGAACTGCCATTGGTGTCCAGCTACTTTTAACCATTTATTTTTCCAAAGGGAAAATAAAACTTGCCAAAATGAGAGAATGAAATTGTGCCAATTCTGAGCCTCATGTAAGTGAACATGAGTATGCTCTTTTTTTTATGTCATAAGTACATATCTTGGCTGTTTTGGAATGGAGTGTGGAGGATAACCATCTTGCCAGGGCCTACCAATCTGATTTAAACAGAATAAAATGAAAGCCACCTGTGCTCTCAAGGCAAACAAACGGCAACTCCATGGCCTTGGGAAGAGGCTCTCCCTTGTGGGTTGATCTTAGTAAGTACTTCCTCAGGTGAGTGAGTTGGGGGTCCCAGAGTTTAACTTTTACTTCAACCAGAGAAACACTATGTACAGACCTACAAGTAGAACCTTAAACTAGAGACAACACATATTTCGCAGAAAGTATTGAGTACAGATGTCAATATCTTGGGTCATCGGGCAGCAGTTGGGTGCCGGGGATTGCAGATATATGCAATGCATTTTCCCATCAGACTTGGTGGCGTCCTCACAAGGGAGGATCAGGTGTTGTCACTACCAGGTAGACTGAAGATGAAGACGCCAAGGCCCTGGGTCACTGAATTACAAGGGCCAGCCAGCACACATGTAGGAGGTGAAGGGCTTGGTAGGTAGTGCTAGTTCTATGCTCCCTGATAATTCTCCCCACTCCCAATGAGGTAGACATCAAGTAGCCTCGGGTGGACCGAATGTTAACTTCAATGGAGTAGTGAGTCTCTATTGGGATGGAGGAGAGAAGATTGCAGAATTGGGAACCAGCTGACAAGGAGGTGCTTATGCCCTGTAAGAAGTCCTGACCATGTTCTACAAACAGTGTGGAAGTCTTGAAGAATGCAGAAGAGGAGGGAGTTGATGCCAGAAGCATTTCAGAAGCTGCCTGGGCGGAAGACATAGGATGGTTGGGTGGAATGGATGAAAGCCGGGAACCTCAGCGAGCGTGCTCTGCTGTGAGGTCATGAGGAAGGAGGGTTGGTAGGAGATGATGAGGAAGAATACTAAAGGATGCTATGGAGACTGGGAGACAGAGGGCCAAGAAGACTTAGCAGCAGCAATGGCTTCTAGAAACCTTCGGTACACAAATCTCAGGCTATGCTCCAGGCCTGCTGAATCAGAAGCTGGTACAGCTTAGCAGAGTGAGGCTCTAAACTCATTCAGGTGTAAAGGCTTTGGTCTGGAGAAGGAAGGTGGTGGAGGTGTCTGAGGGCTCAGTTGAGGGCTGCCAGGTGTGTGGAGATGCTGAGAAACAGGTGGGGAAGGAAGCCAGGCTAAGGAGGTTTCAGCGGGGATTTGTTTACAGCCTGGAAGAATGTGTGCTTGTCTAGAACGCTGAGCTCGAGGGCCCCAGTCGGGCATAAAGGTGAAGCACTGGGACCAGGGACCATGCTAAAGTTCTAAGAAGAGACTGCTTCCTCAGGGTGAAAACGCTGCAAGACATTGTACATACATTGTACATCACAGCAGTTAAGACAAAAAGGCTAACGGATGGGAGAAGAGAGGACATGGAACAAGATTGGCAGAGAGAAGGAGAAGGAGAGACAAACACCACAGATTCCCAGAGCCTGCATTCTGCAAACACGGACCATCATCCCAAGCGGCCAGTTCTGGGGGCGTGCTTCTTCCTTTCTTGTGATTGAAAGACACAAAATACTGCTTATATCATGCCTCTCCCCATATCGCTGAATTCATCCACAGAAGCCTGAAATACTCATGGTAAGTATTATAGCAGCCCAAGTGTGTGTTGAGGTTCAAAGTTCATCGTGAGAACATTGATCCATTCAGTAATGTGGCCTTGGCACTCTTTTCTAACCTCACTTCACACTACATCATCATTCTCCATTTTAAGGCTCATGCAACCTTCCGACTGCATCCCTGTCTCATATGCTTAGAGTCGTGAGGCTTTTCTTAATTAATTGCATTTGTCAAATTCTGCATTCATGGGCATGTCTGTGTGGCTTTGGGATTCACACCTGCTTCCTCTTCTGCTCCTAAGGTCTCGCCACATACAGAGTGCACACTGGATCTGTGTGTGTGACAGATGCCAGACGGCAGTGGACCTTCTAGGCTGGGTGTCGGGGTCCTTCTCAGCTTGACTGCCTATTGCGCCTCTGCCCTCTCCTTCCCCAGAAGATCCCTTTTTAAAATTGACAATGTCTTTCGGCATGTAAAATAATTTTTTTCTTATTGGCTCCTAGCCTTTCAAAATAACAGCCATGCTGTGAGTACACGTTTATTAGAATAACCTTTTGAATTATTCTTTCAAAAAACAAGATGTGGTAGTTTATTTTATTTTTATTTATTTATTTATTTTTTTGTCCGGTCATGGGACTTGAACTCTGGGCTGGGCTCTGTCCCTCAGCTCTTCAGCTCAAGGCTAGTGCTCTACCACTTGAGCCACAGTGCCACTTCCGGCTTTTTTCTTTTTGCTTATGTGGTGCTGAGGAATCGAACTCAGGGCCTCAGCATGCAAGGCAAGCACTCTACCACTGAGCCACCTTCCCAGCCCCAAGATGTGGTATTTTATTAAATACTATCTCTTCTGAGTAAGAAACTGAAATGATTAGATTGCTGGTGGTTCAGGTCTGTAATCCTAGCTACTCAGGAGGCTGGGATTTTGGGAATCAGAATTTGAAGCCAGCCCAGCAGAATGTTTGGGCGATTGCCACGGCTCATTGTGACTTAGAGCTTCTAACTCTAGTAATCTTCTCAAAATAAATAATGCAAATCCATACAGAGACATGGCTGCAAGTGTTCACAACGATGCAGTTCGTTATGCCCAGTGAATGAAATCCAAATGTCCATCAATAGGTGAATAAGCAAAAGGTGGTATATGCATTGGATGGGATGTATTTCACTAATGGAAGGGAATGAATTGCGGATATATATTAAAATCAGTGAATCTGTAAGTGAAAGAAACCAAATGAAAATCAGTGTAGATGATGTTGTTTACATGTCATGTCTTACCAAGTCTTGTTTATAGGGATAGACAAGAGGTAACCGTTTGTATAGTTTTGGGATCTGGGGTGGAGATAAACAGGCACAAAGGAACTTTAGGGGTGATGGAAATGTTCCAAAGCGGATTGTGGTGATACTGCATCACGTAAAGTTACCTGATTAAGACTATTGAAACACAACTCATTAGCTATGCAAAAGTGAATTCTGTGTAGGCAGTTGTATATTTAGGGATAAAAATTTGGGACTGGTCAGTGTCTAGATAGAATAGAATGATTTTAAGGTGACAAGAAGAATGAGCAAATTTCTTTCCCTCCCCGGCAAGGCCAAGCCTGGATCCTGTGGCTCTCCAACATAGAGTTCTCGGGATGTGAGGGAGACCCACGAAAAGCAACAGAGAAGTACGGTCACTGCGGCAGAAGGAAAATCAGGTGAGTGGATTTCTCAGAGCAAGTCAAGAAGCAGGAAGGAGTGTCCAGCACATCAAACATGGTGGAAAGCCAGGGAAGGGAAGGAACAAGCTCTGATTGACTGTTCAATTTGATGACTGTGTGGTTCCTCGGTGACCTTGATAAGGCCATGTTTAAATAGATGAGTGGGCATGTGTGCTAGCTTATGGACTGGGCTCCAAAGAGGACTGGAGACCAATAGAAATGGAGAAAGAGGAGTCTGGAGAAATTGTACTGAAAGGTTTCTGTTTTGAATGGAAGCTCTGACTAGAGAAGATGTGGTTGGTCATGCCTTTCTTTGTAACTTAGAACAATGGGTGATCTTAATCTGGATGTTTCTTGGTACTGTATCTTAATCATCTAAGTAGGGAGAGGTGCTGAGTGATTGGTGATTCCCTTTTCCCTCGCTGTGTTTTGCTGTTGGTTTGCAATGTATATCTCTTTGAGGCTCAGTGCTTGAGGCTGAGTCTCACACCATATTGTACATCACGGTATTGCACATCACGGCGTTTGTGTCTTGGATCTGCCTTTCCAGGCTTTGGTGATTTATTTTTAAAACACTATGCCTCAAATGAATGATCTCTTTCATTTATATCCAATTTCACTGGATTCTCAACTGTCTTTTCAGATAATGTTGAGAAACTGGCTCTGAAATGGTATTTTAATCAGAGAAACTAATGTGAATGAAAGGGAAGCAGATGTTAGCAGTGAAGAAATTTATGTTCAGAAGAAATGACTTAACACTTGGCAGTGATTTCCTGAAGATATGCTGTGGTACAAGATGGAATCATGGGGATGTGTATATTATGATTACGATTGTTATTAATGGAGGGCCTCATGCTTTCCAGGCCCTACCTGGCTCTACCACTTGAGCTACACCTCCAGCATTGATACTTTCCAAGTCTGGATCTTGTTTTGACCCTGGCTGGCCTAGGCTTCCATCCCTCTACCTGTGCTTGCCTGGTCCCTGGGGGGGGGAGGGGTGACACACTAGGTGTGTGCCACTGTGCTTTCCCGGTAGCTGGAGTGACAGGCATGTGCTACCACACCCAGCCATTGACTCAGACAGAATCTCTTAGACTTTCCGACTTGCCTGGTCTTGAACCAGATCACCCAATCTCTACTTTTCCAAGTAGCTAGGGTTACAGGCTTTAGGCTAGCAGGCTGGGCAGACTTTAAAATTAGATGCTATTTAACTTGAAACGAGTGTGTATGCCATGAAATGCTTTCTCTATTTGTAATGTCGGGTTAGCAAATTAGAAGGCAAAGGATGGATCTGGGCTGCTGTTTTTCGGGGAGATGGCACCCGTGGGCATGATGTCTGGTACAGACTCAGCGGCCACAGTGTCAGTATCTGAAGGCAGCCTGACCTTGAAGACACTGGGAAGCACGTAGGAGCTGCAGTGTGACAGAGTCCAAGGTCAAGACAAGGAGCTAGGCTGGTAGCAGGAAGGGGCAGCCCAGACGCACGGGACGTTTGCCGTTCTATACTCCGTGTTGTATTCCGTGTAGCTCTCCCCTCTCCCTGCGGCTTGTCTCCTGCCTCTGCTTTTCCAGAGCGCATTGGACTCATGGAAGACAGGACTGGACAGAGTCGCTGACTCTGCTGGTTTTGACTTCTCACTTCTGACCCACTCTGGCCTCTCTGGCTGCTTATCCTTCAGGCCATCCACGTCTCACTGCTAGGGATAGCTATCTCTATATTGGAGTCTACCAGTGCTGCCAACATTAGCAACAACGTTCAGTGCTAGACTCCAGTTGCCTATAACCAAGCAGGGATGATTAACTTTGTATTAACTCTAGACTTTTCCATATTCCAAATCAGAATTTTTTTTCCTGGTCGGTCGTGGGTCTTGAACTCTGGGCCTAGGTGCTGTCCCTGTGCTCTTCAGCTCAAGGCTAGTGCTCTACCACTTGAGCCACAGCGCAACTTCTGGTTTTCTGGTGGTTTATTGGAGATAAAGAGTCTCACTGACAAATGCATATATTCAAACTCCTGTCTAAAGTTTCCTATACCTTAGCTATTATGTATTCACCTAATATGCTATAATATTTAGTATACTTCCACATTGTTTTTAATCAGTCCCAAGGTCACACTGAATGGTTGTTTCCCCTTTTTTAGAAGTGAAAAGAATTTACTTTTTACAGCACGGTGCCTTTGGGACTAACAACCTACCTTCTCTGACACTTTTCCTCATGATGTAATAAAAATAATGACAATATCTAGTCCATGTGTTCAGGACTAAATTGTCTACCCTAAATTCATATGTTAAATCTCTAGTGCCCAAATATGACTATATTTGGAGATAAATCCTACAGGAGGTCATTAAGAGCAAAGGAGATCATAAGGGCGAAGGCCTTAATAAGAATAGTATCCTTAGAAGAACTACCAGAGTGACCCCCGTTCCTGGAGCAATTGTGAACAGGTCACATGAGCATGGAGCAAGATGGCAGTTGCCTAAAAGCCAGGAAGAAGGTCCTCACTAGAAACTGGCTGATGCTGGTACCAAGAGCTCAGACTTCCAGCCTCTGGAACTATGAGGAAGTAAATTCTGATTGTTTAAGTTGTTCAGTTTCTGATACTTAGTCATGGTAGCCTAAGCTGACCCTAATAATGAAAATTCTGAGTATTTAGAGGAAGGAACAATTATATGGGATAAAATTTGGTTCTGTTTCTCCCGATTCCCTGTAGCTCTCAGTGAATTGTGGTCTTTTGATGAGAGCCACATTTTTCTTAGGGTTGGACATCAGATCAACTTGCTTCCAAAGCCCTTAAATTTTCCACAGTTATTTTATTTCCCAGCTCTGCCACAGTGAAATAGTGTAACAATTACCTAACAACTGAAAAATCTAAGATATTTCTCGACTTACATTTATCTTTCTTCTCATGAGAAGCCCTAATGTGGGCAGTGGTTTTCCCTATAATGAGCAAATAATAATGGTTCATGTGCTGGGGAAACACAAATGCTATAAAGTTATAGGCTAAGTTTCTTGGGAATCTCAGAAACTGCACCCATTCTCCCAACATCCAGTTCAAGTCCCGCTCCATTTCCCCTAATGATATTGTCTTCCTTGTAATTTCTACATACTGGATTATCAACACCACTATTGTTATTGTTTATTATTGTTATAGTGATCATTATTTTGTGTCAGTAATGGGGCTTGAACTCAGGGCCTCACAGACTCCCTTTGCTTTTTCATTCAAGGCTGGTGCTCTACCACTTGAGCCACCCTTTTGCCAATGGATTTTTGCTGGTTAATTGGAGTCTGTCTGATTTGTCTGCCTGGGCTGGCTTCAAAGATCCTCCGATCTCAGCCTCCTGCATAGCTAGGATTACAGGTGTGAGCCACTGGCACCAGGCTTTATCAGCACCATTTCTAGTTCAATTCATTCTGCCTCACTTCCCTGGTTATAGAAAGTGTCTCGAAGCTGTGCCACATCTACACAATTGCTACCCTAGCAATGAGGATTGTAACAAAGTGGGGTTCAGCAGCCAGAACTATGCATGAAACGTAATACCCCTAAGAGAATGCTCATAATTCCCTTGCTGAACCAAGTATCAATTTGAAGTCTGATCTGATCAGAACCAAAGAGATACTTACTTCGAGGGCCCCGCTTGGCTGTCATGCCCAGAAGATGCGTCTCGGGCTCTTCCTGTGCAGGCTCCTGCTGGGAGCCGTTGTGAGATTTTTCCGATACCATGTCCTCAGGGTCGGTGGTTGGAGGCTATGGACAGGAAGAGCAGAGGGTTCAGAGGCACCCTGAGTTTTAGCTCACCTTAGATCTTCAGTCAGGATGAGCCAGGTCACCCGTGAAGGGATGGATCTTAGACCTGGGGCAGCGACGTTCCTGTGGCATGAGTCATAATGGGCCTGCGCTAGGGAAGGACTGCCCACCTTGGCTTGTTCTAGTAAATTTTCAAACATTATTGACATCCCCAAATAAGATCATTATCTTCACTTTGCCTTGGTAACATGTATTGCATTGATCTCTGCAGAACACCATAAGGCCGTACTTTATTATGCACTCCTAGACATATTGGAAGCATCTTTTAGAAATTTGCTGTCTAATCAGGGACAAACATTATTTTCACAATTTTGAAGTCCCCAGGAAGAGCTTCTGGAATCTTCCCCCCAAGTCTCAGGGGGGAGGAAGCCAAGGAGGCAAAGTTGGCAACGATGCCTTTGCGAACCAGACAGCTGAAAACTTGTCATCAGCTCAGACAGACTGTGGACCAAGGGTGAGGATTTCACTTCTTCATGAATTACCTTCTCCTCTATAAAAGGATCTAGGAGACACCCAGAGATTTTGACTAGAATTCACATATAGCCCTGGCTGGGGATCAGGGTTCTGGTACAGGTTCAGTGAAAGGGAGGATGTCTATAAAAGTGGAAAGCAGACCTATGAAACAGCAGTTGACAGCTATCTCAATCCCCTGCCCCCCCCCCCCAATCCTCCTATTCCATCCAGGATTTACAGCAGCCTTAGCTCTGGTCACCTGCGGCTTGCTGTGCGGGTGTATCTGGACCTGAAGTCTTGCATCCTTTTCCTTAGCCACCTAACTCTTCTCTGCCCAGGGCTCTAGAGTAGGAGGTGACCAGCGGGGAAGAGGTTAAAGCTCCAGCAGTCAGGCCGGCCAGCCGTGAGCCTCTCAGATTCCCCGGAGTGGCCAGACACTGGCCCACGTGGCCTGGCTAGCAGGTCCCTGCCCCACCCCAGCCCGCATGGGTCTGCAGGGCAGTCAGCTTCTCTGTTCGGCTTGCGGGAGGATGCACTGCTTGAGGAGCAGCCCCGTCATGTGACTGCTGCCTCAAAATGGCGTTCCCTTTCCCTCCCTGGCTGGCATCTCAGTGATGCCTGCCTAGCCCCTCATTCTGCACACCCCCCCTCCTCTGCTCCCCTTCTCCGAGGGCAGCAGCGGCTGCTAAGAGAATTGATTTGCTTGGAAAAGGTTTACCTTGCGGGAGATGCTCTAGCCTGGGAAGGGAACTTCTGCGAAGAGGTGTGGGGGAGGAACAGGGACTGTTGGTTTCTGGCTCAGTCTAACAAGGAATTCAGGCTTTGGAGCAAGAGAGGGAGTTCTCTAACATTTGTAATCCTGCACTGCCATCTACTGCCTGCCCTCTTTTATGGCGGTCAGTGACAGCACTAGCCATCTTCTCCAGACTTGGCTCAGGCGATAGAAGAAAACTTAAGAGGAAAAAGAAGCATGGGTTTGAGCCTTAGTATGAGTACCATCTGGATGTGCTCACAGGGACAGCCAGGCTGCAGGTCTGCCTCCTAGTTCTCCAAAGCAGACTAAAACTTGGTATTCAAAGGAAGATGCTTTTTTTTTTTTTCTGTGTCAGATTCCGTGTGGTCACTGGCGGTGCTGGCAGGTCATTAGGCAAAGACACACAACGCAGACAGACACAGTTTCTCTTCCCTTCATACCTGTTTCTTTCTTTGTCGTCTTTGGGCCTTTGAATTCTTCTTCCGCCTTCCCACGTCTGCATGCTCCTCATTTTCAGTGAACTCCTGAAAAGGGAAGAGGTGACTTTCAGGCATTGATCTGGATCTTGAGGCAAGATACACGTGAGTGGCTCTCACTGACACTCCTCTTAAAACAGACACGGTGTGAATACGTGTCTTTACAGTGTAGCATCCATATGAAATGATATTGGAGCTGCTATTGTTGCCAGTCCTTGTTCATGATTACTACGTTTATGGAGCACATATTGAGTTCTAGGTCCAGGAGGCACAGGGAAAAATACAATATACTTCCCCCTCTCAAAAGTCACATTCTGAGGAGGATAACCAAGGATCTGCCAGGCAGGTCAGATGATGAGCCAGGACAAAGGGCAGACTTTGGAGGCAATCTGACCAGCCGGGAGGGAAAACTATACTATATTGGAAAATAGGCTACATTAAATCACCGAAAGAATTTAAATTTAGTATGAATTTTGGTAGATGTGTGTGCGTGCGTATGTGTGTGTGCGCGCGCACACCCCTGTCCTGGGCTTGAACTTAGGGCCCGGGCAGCACTGTCTCTGAGCCTTTTTGCTCAAGGCTAGCACTCTACTATTTGAGCCACACCTCTACTTGTGGCTTTTCTGGTAGTTAATTGGAGATGAGAGTCTCATGGACTTTCTTGCTAGGGCTAGCTCTGAACCATGATCCTCATATCTCAGCCTCTTGAGTAACTAGGTTTACAGGTCTCATTCTCTGACAGGTGTCCAGCTAAATTTCGGAAGATCTTTTTGAGAAGGGAAAACTACAAACATCTTTTCCTTATACATTCAAATGTTTTAGAATCAAATCTCAAGAGTTCAAAAGTCTAAAAGTATTTCAGCTTTCAAGTTTTCTAACCTCAGACTTTTATAAACTGGGGTATCAGCATTTTTGGATGAACAGAAACTGTAAAGTAGCTGGGTGTGATGGTACACAGCTATAGTCCCTGCACTCGGGATGCTGAGGTAGGAGGATTGAGTTCCTGGTTGGCCTGGACTATATAATAAGATTGTTTCAAGCGAGTGAGAGGAAGAGGATAGGGAAAGGAGGGAGAGAGACTTCCAGTCTGTGGCAATGCGCCTCTGGTTCATGCTCTGAGTCCAGGCCTCTGCTCACTCAGGCCTCCTTTACTTGAATCTGCTACATAGTTGAATTTCATTATAAATGGTTCTAATGATAAGTATGATTCCTAAATTCTACTGACATAGAATGGACTAGAGTCAACATGTCATCTTTTGTTTTTTAATGTTCTAATCTTGAATCAATAGAAAGCTGCCAAGCAGGACTTCCAGTCAGATGGAATGTAGACTCCATGAAGACACGGGCTTTTCTTTATTGCTAGATTCCCAGAGGCTAGAGACACAGAACATCTGTCCCGTGGATAAAGAGATTGTGTGGTTTTGTTCTTGAGATCTTGCTTAAGCTGATGGTTTTCTGAGGCGTTCTCTGGGGCTCTCTAAAGCACTGCATCGGAAACTGGACAATGTCTGCCTTTGTGTCCCAGTGGACTTGTAAGGATCCCCAGAAAAACTCTTGCTGCTTAGTGATTGCATTCTCCAGGAGGTAGACACATAACTTCCATTAACTTCCTCTGCTCTGGGAAGTGATTTAAGGCGGTTATATATAACATGAATCAGAAATTGCAAGACTCCAGGGACAGATTTCATTAGCATTATAATCCACAATTGTTACTTAAAAAAATGAAATCAAGATGCTTCAGGCAGAGCTAGGCCCAGCAGCGGAGTATGAGTGAGGGCTGCTGTGTGTTGCAATTCATGACATGGTGACAGTTCAGGGAAATCAGCAGCGGTAAGACCTCTGGGGTTCTCACAAGCCCTTCATCATCTGTCTCCTCTGTCTATCTGAAAGATTACCCTGACCACACATGCAGTTGCTGTGTGCTAAATTAATCTGAATTTTGGCCTGAGGTAAGTGCTTCAAGTATTTACTTAACAATCTGTACCCTAACTTGGTATGAAAACTAACTGGATGTTTATGTTGAAAGTAACTTTTGTGACAAAGAGCTGAACCTCAACAATCAACACAACCAAGCTTAGCCAATCACAGGCCACAGGCTGATGAAGCAACATTTGAATATAACACTCCTGGGCAGCAGCCAATCAAGTTGTTCCTATTCATCACTTCTGTTTTCCACCCTTAAATACTGTGTGAGAGTGAAGCCCTGTAAACTTCTTCTGGTCCAAAGGCTACTGGATTCATGAATTGCCTTTTGATCCACCAATGCCTGTCAAATTTTAATTTGTTACAAGTTTTCATTTCAATACACATTTTCCTTTCCTTTCAATATGGGGTAAATGCTTGTTGGTAGCCCTTACTTTTTCATCCACAAATATACTCCCTAGAGTGTCTCAAGCAAACACTTACCTCTGTAATTATCTTTACTTTTTCTTCTCTGGGATTCATTTTGGCTAGGATGGGCCCTTGACAAAGAAAGAACAAAGATGTCATGCATTTTGAAACCACAGAAATATTGTTCTTCTTACCATCGGTGACTGATGGTTATGTAAGCATTTAAGCTGAGAAGACTTTCTCCAGTTCACCAGGAATCCTCAGACCCCAGAATTGGCAGGAAGAAAGAAGGTTGTAAGATGCCTCAATCCCCAGCAACCTGGCTTTACTGTTCACATTCTTAGTTGGAATCCAGCTCAAGTGGAGAATTTCATAGCTTTTATGCTTCCACCATCTTCCACCTTTCTGCCCTTTCTCAGTCTGCTCTTGACCTTAATTCTCATTTTACTGAACAAACAGACAAAGCCAGGGAGATGCCCAAATCCTCCTCACCTCACCCACCTCGTGGCATCTCCCAGGAGTTGTCTCTGCTTTGCTGCAGCGAGTTTCTCTGCAGGTCAGCAGGCCCCAACATTTCCCTCCTTTGGGAAGTTGGCTTCACACTTTCTCTTTCACCTCTGCAATCATTTCTCCCTGCTCTATTGGCTCATTTCCACTAGTATTTAGAAATGCTAGAATTAGTCCTTAAACACTTCACTTCTTTTTTAGCTGTTGCTCAATTTTTCAACCTTTAGAGGAAAATCTCTGAGTATATACCCTCTCTTTCTAGCACTTTCTGCAATTGCTCTTGCCAGCATCTCTCAATGACCATGACCTTTGCATTGATGTGTCTTAGGCTCAATTCTCAGTCCTCATCTGCTGGGTCTCATACGAAGTATTTAGCAATGAGGGAAATTTATCCTTTCCTTTAGAAATACTTCAATTGAAGCTGGGGTGCCAGTGGCTCACACTGGTAATGCTAGATATTAAGGAAGCTGAGAAATGAAGGTTTGGGTTTGAAGTCAGCCCAGGCAGCAAAGTCTGTAAGACATGTATCTTCAGTTGACCACCAAAAATCCAGAAGTGGAGCTGTGGCTCAAGTGGTAGAACACTAGCCTTGAGCAAAATAGTTCAAGGACAGTATCAAGTCCTGAGTTCAAGCCCCAGGATGGACACACACACACACACACACACACACTCTCTCTCTCTCTCTCTCCCTCCCTCTCTCTCCCTCCCTCTTTCTCCCCCCCCCTCTCTCCCCCCCTCTCTTTCTCTCCCCCCTTCACTTGACTTCTGGGTCCAGTTCATTCCTGATTTCCTTCAACCACTGGCTGCTTCTTGAATGCCTTTGCTGCTGTTTTCTTTCATCTCTAACTCCATACTGAAGGGCAGTTCTTAATCCTCTCTCTCCATATAGCTATATAGATACAGATATAGATAGATAGGTATTTACATTCCTCAAAGGATAGCCTGAGTCCAAGCATCTCCCTAGAATGGCAGACCTCAATGTGGGCTGTGTGAGGGACACCTTCGCTTGGCTTAATGAGCCTGAAATGAAAGTTCTACTTCTATCCTCTAGTCTGCTTATGTTACAATTTTCCTATCAATAAATAGAAAGCTGTTCTTCCCAGGCCAGAAACCTAAGGTCCCCTCATCTATTCTCCCACTCTTTCTAGACACACCATGTCTGTCTGAAATGGTTAATTTTAGGTGTCACTTGACTGGATTAAGGAATACCTAGGGACTTGGGACAGCAATACTTTGGTTAGTGTGTGAGTCTGAGTGGGGTGGGTTGGGAGAAGACCCTTTCTCATGGTGGGAAAACCATCTAAACAGCCAGCCACCAGAGAAAACAATATGGAAGGTGAGTCGGTCTCTTCTTCCAACCTCTAAGAGCTCGGATACAATCCTGTCCTCAAGTCCAGGCTCTCTGGCCTTTGGACTCTAGGACTTAGTCCAGCAGCCCCTAGGGTTAGACCATGAACTCCCCTGGGGCTGAGACCTTGTGAGTTGGACCAGCTTGCCAAAGTCTCCAGCCTATAGACAGTCTATTGTGGGGCACCAAAGAGACCATCATTCCATGAGCTAGCTCCCTAATAAATCTCTCATATATTTACATATGTATCCTATTGGTTCTGTCTCTCTGGAGACTGTTGGCCCCAACCAATCAGAACACTGCCAGCTTTGACTACAAATTATATTCAGATCCAGCCACTTCTAACACCCCCAATTAATTAATTAGGTTTTTTTTTGTACTGGTAACAGAGTTTGAATTCAGGACCTTGAGCTAACATTCAGTTTTCTTGGTCACAACTGGTGCTCTATCACTTGAGCCATGCCTCCCATTCACACGTCTTCTTTCAGACCACACAGATAACTACAGCTTCCTCTTCATTTTTTTTCTGTTTCCCACACTGCCTTGCTACAACATTGTGTATGTTGAAGCCAGAGTGAGTGGATGGAAAACAATTTCAGTATGATCATGTCTTTCAATGACTCAAAATCCATCAGTGATTTCAGGATTTTCCAAGTCCCTCCATGATTGTACATTTGCACGCGCTTGCTCCAGGGCCTTGGACTCTCTGTCCCTTTGGCCTAGAATCTGTGTTCCATAACTTGCACAGCGATTCCTCCCTACCCCGCTCTCCCTCTCGCTCTCATTTCCTTAAGGTCTCTGCTGGAATTTCCTTTTCTCAGAGAAGTCTTCCACAAGGGCTCTCAATACAATGATAACTTCTCACCTCTGTTCTCTGAGAGTTCTCTAACAACTCCCAGAGTGCCTTAAGATCTTTCTGCAGTACTTAACACAGATCAGTGTATGTGCTTGCCTCTCTACCATTAGAAAAAGTCCCACTGTAAGGGGGCAGGGACAGTATTTTATCCATGTTTTCTTCCCAGAGTCTTGAGTCATAGGGTACTGGAACACAGTAGATATTCTCACTGCTTACTGCTTCTGCCCTTTTTTTTTTGTCTGTCACAGGGCTTGAACTCTGGGTCTGGGCGCTGTCCCTGAGCTCTTTAGCTCAAGGCTAGCACTCTACCACGTGAGCCATAGCACCACTTCCAGTTCTCTGGTGGTTTATTGGAGCATCTCATAGACTTTCCTGCCCAGGCTGGCTTTGAACAGTGACCCTTAGATCTCAGCCTCCTGAATAGCTAGGATTACAGGCATGAGCTACTGGCACTCAGCTACTGCTTCTGTCTTTTTATTGGGGAGGGGTGGCAGGGTATCTGTCTTGGGCTTGAACTCAGGGCCTGGTCATTCATTGTCCCTGAACTCTTTTGCTCAACACAACTTTTGCTAGCACTCTATCACTTGAGCCACTTCTGGATTTTTTGTGTGTGTGTAAATAAGAGATCAGAGTCTCACAAACTTTCCTGCCTGGGCTGGCTTCAAACTGTGATCCTCAGATGTCTGCCTTCCTGATAGTTAGAACTATAGGCATATGCCACTGGTACCTGGCTTGTTTCTGTCTTGAGGGCCACATTTGGACCCTTTCCTTTAAAGCTTTGTTGTCCTCTGAGGTCTGAGGTTAAGATTGAGAAACCAAGTAGAGAAATACTACACACAAGTTGCAAATCATAAAGTGTCCTTAATGCCATGGGTTTCAAATGTTAGCTCTGCCTTGGTCATCCGGCAGCTAGTTCAGGGTCCTCCTGCCCTTCAGGGGGAGCTAGCAGCTGCACAGAAATAAAGGATCTTCTGCATCAACCCCTCACCAGCTACAAAAATGTAGAGAGGAAATGAGGAAAGCATATCAGAATATAAAGAACTGAAAAGATAATCTAGAGACAGCCAGGAGTGAAAGAACACAATGCTGTCTAATAAAGAACTCTGGTAGTTCTTTATTTACTCTGGTAGTGATGACCTGGAAAAAGAAAAGATGTGAACTCTGGGCTTGGGTGCTATCCCTCAGCTCTTTAGCTCAAGGCGAACGCTCTACCACTTGAGCTACAATGCCACTTCTGTTTTTCTAGTGGTTTATTGGAAAAGAAAGTCTCACAGACTTTCCTGCCCAGGCTGGCTTTGAACCGTGATCCTCAGATCTCAGCCTCCCGAATAGCTAGGATTACAGGCATGAGCCACCGGTGCCCAGCTAGGATGTGAAATATTTTATTAAGTAAAAAAAAAGATTCTCCATAAAAAATCAACCATGGAAGAAAAATATAGAAGTAGAACATGAAAAATAGAAAGGGGTTGACTTCTTCTCCTCATCCTTTACTGACCGTCATCTTTGAATACGTTTCTAAGGAAATCCAATGACACCCAAATACATTTTTCTTAGGAATGCTGTTGCTTAGAAAAGATAAATCAACATCACCCCCATGTTAATACGCTGCTTGTAGCATCACTTGTACTGGATACGTGCTAATGCATTCCTAGCGACTGCTAGGAAAGTAGGGGCCATGGTTTACTGCATACTTATTTTGTGTTATCTTGAGGTAGATGTCCTCCTTCGCCCCTTACAATGACTACAATGGCATTTCTCCCCTAGTCCATATTTTAGTTTATACAGGAAGAAATCGAGACTCCCACTTATGTGGTTTGCCTCAGGTTGTACAAGGTAAATGTCATATTCAGAATTTGACCTCAAGTTTCTATGGTTCTAAACACCTCCTCTATTCCCTGCTGTCTGTCAGTCTTGCTCTTTAGTCTTGCCTTTGCACAATTATCAGAAATTACCGTATTCTAGTCTAATATTCTGGAAATACCTCCAATGGAGTATTGTGAAGTATTGTACCAGTGACACACACTTAGACTATATTAGGTTATTCAAGGAATGTATGGAAACTTTTGACCAAATGGACTATTCCTAAGGTTCAGCAGCTGATGAGAACTACATCTAGGGATCTATGATGCAGGATGCATAGAAAGAAGAATGAAGATGTGGGAAAGAGGCAATCTTATAAGGCAATGCATCTTGCCCACGGCTACCTAAAATGAATAGAATCGTTACAGTGAAATCATGGGTTTATAGCAAGAGTGAGGACTTTGTAAAAACTATTACATAGACCTTGGTTCAAATTCCAGCTCCACTCACTCATCTGCCAGAGATCGTGGAACAATGCTGCTACTTCTCTGTAAAACTATGATTAGATAGATCATATAAGAGAAATTGTGTAGTAGAGTGCCTCTTGTGGTAGTAGATTGTATTACCGGTTTATAGTACTTAGAATTGGCAAGGATCGGAAGCATCTGGAGAAAGATGTAAAGAAGAGAAAAGAGCTTGTTAAGGTGCAGAGAAGAGCTATCAGCCATATGAGCTATATGGGTTTTAAACTACAGCCAGTAGATTTTCCTTAGGGATCGCCAGGCCTACATTTCCCACTTCAGCTTCACATACAATCCCTGGCCACTTTAACCCATATCCCCTCCCCCCTTCTCCAGCTATATCCCCTCCCCCCTTCTCCAGCTATATCCCCTCCCCCCTTCTCCAGCCATATCCCCTCCCCCCTTCTCCAGCCATATACCCTCCCCCTTCTCCAGCCATGCTCAGCTCACTTGTGGGTCTTTGTCCATCTATAGTGCTGTGAAACATCCTGTCCTACGGTCCTTGCAACCCTGAAAGAAATTTTCTACCCATCTTTCTGGAAGCTCAGAAATATCAGGAGGGGCCACATCCCTTCTGGGATTTGTTATCCAAATCTGTATGTCATTCTAGCCATAGTGTAAAGTAGAAAGTTTAAAGGTCAGTGCCAATTAGCCCTGTAGGTACAATGTATATTTCCCTTGAAGAGTGAAGTAGGTACCCTGCTAGCACTCTGTGTGCCCTGTCAAATGAGCACATTTACAGAATAGAGGACATACAGAAGCCCTCCCAGGAAAGAATCCTGCCCCTCCAAGCTCTTTAGACCTTTTCCTAAATCTCTTCTGGCACTTAGCTCATTGTGCTATTACTGTCTGCTTATAGATCTGTCTTCTCAGCACACATCCAGCATCTTCCCAGGTTTAGTTCCTTTTCTACCCTCTTCAGCATGTCTGGTGTTAGAGTGAAAGACTTACAAATGAGCTCTAGGTTATATATATATATATATATATCTATGTGTGTGTGTGTGTGTGTGTGTGTATGTGTATGTGTATGGAGAGAGAGAGAGAGCAAGAGAGAGAGAGAGAGGAGGGGGGAGGTTATTTCCTACTGGCCCTGAATTTGTCTGCAAAAAAGTGCATATAAAAATGCAGACTTAAATTTCCCATTAGACTTTATTAGCTTTCCGAAGCACCTCTTTGCAAAGAAGGCAAATGGGTTTTAAACCACAGCCAGTAGATTTTCCTGAATTCTTGGACCTCAGCCTTTGGTTAATAGCCCTTTGTCCATCCAATGCCAAAAAAAGAAAAGAAAAAAGAGAAGGAAAGTTCCACTGGAACCAGCACTTCTCACCCTTGCACCAACTGGAAACTAAAAGGACCGGAAATGCACCGCAAAGAGGATTTCCACCCAGGGATCCTCATGAACCGGATTTACTTCCCCTGCCAACCAGACAAGTAGCTCAAATCAAAGCCGCCGGTGTAATGCTCGCTCCACATCCCCAGGGCGCAAACTAAAAATGCAGATAACGGAGCTCCGAAGTGAGTAACGCATTGAGCCAGCTCCCAGGCACCCCGGGGAGCGGCGGAACTCTAGGCGCTAGCTGAAGATGGGAAACCATTACTGCAGCCGGGGTTTTGTTAAGAGCTGATTTACCTTAAAGAACTTTACAAAAAGCACCGTGCAGATTCTGTTCTCCAGGATGGAGGGAAGAGAGAGGAGGAGGAGAGGCGAGGCTTGCGGACAAAGCTCCTGAAATAGTCGGAAGGGCAGAGCTGAGTGGAGGAGACTCTCAGGCTGCTTCTGGAAGCCACAGCCACGTCTCTGGGCAAACTGAGCAGCTTAGCAACCAGCTCGCAGGGAAGGTCACCAGGCAGCGCCTTTTTTTTTTTCCTTTTAAAGTGACAGTTTACTGCTAATCTCAGAACAGGAGCAGACTAGTCAGCAGAGGAACTCAAGCTACGGAAAAAGAGAAAGGCACTTAAGTGGGGGAAAATGGGCAGACCTGCCCCCGGGTTGTAGGGTCGTTTCTGGTAATGCACAAGACATGCTCAGAGGTGGGAGGATTTAAAATCCTAAAAAGCCATTAAAGTGAGGGGCAGGTGGCTGATTAACTGGGCAGATCTTTGTGGAGGGCACACTGGGGTGTTTTGGGCTAACCCTGAAAGGTTGAATGCAGGAGTTAGAGCTCTGCTTATTTTTGGAATGCCACTGCAGTCGCTGAAGTGGAATATAAATGTTGTGGCTTAAAAATGCTAATGGAGACAGGAGAAAGGCGAGCAGACTGAAGAGTGATGGAATGGGTAGATCAAGGGACGACACCTGTGTGTGTGTGTGTGTGTGTGTGTGTGTGTGTGTGTGTGCATGTACACAGCATGCATGCATATGTACATTCACTATGTTATTTTCTGTATTCTTGGTGCTCTGGCATTTGGGGCCTATATCTTGGAGACACTCATGCTCCTAGACATAACTAATTCTTAGAGGTAGCAAATGAAATAAGGAGTTTGGGTCTGGCCCAGCCATCTTGGCCACATGGTGGATGGTAGAAGTCTTGTCTTCATGGTGGAGGAAGGTGAAGCCTGACCCCACTCCCCTCCCCATGATGGGCATGCCTGAATTCCTGGAGGCAGGGGTGAGCACTTGGCTGATAGGCTACTAAACCTGTCAGTCCAGTGCCTGGGACTGGGAGTTTCCTGTGACCCTGCTCCCTGACTGGACCCTATTTAGGCCGGGACCAGCTCAGGGGCCCTTACACCATGCCATGTGTCTCTGTTTCATGTCCAGTTTCCTGGCTCTTTTTCTGGTCACCATGATTGGAGCAGAACTGGTTTGTTGGTATTGTTTTTGTTCTTTTTTTCTTCTCTGGCCTTTGTGGCTCAGTTTTCTAACAGTGTTGAGTGTACTTGCTGACTGCTGGTCTTTGAGACAGGAGTCCACCATGCAGTCGCTGGCCTTTTAATAAAGACTGCACAATTCCACCTCTCAAAATGTGGCTTCTCTGTTTTCCCACCTTACAACACAAATGAATGACTCTTCTTTTGTACTGTTCATTGAGGCCCAGTCAGAAGAAGACATACTTAACCCCTAACTTCCTGGCCAACATACCAAATAGAATACCAGAAAGTTTAAGGTAGCTAAACCACCTTGGTCTTTGCAAGAGAAGAATTCAGGTAAGATGTGATTCTAGGTAATGGTGATAGGAAGGCTTAAAGGAGATAGAGAAGGAGCCTGGGAGGGATGAGCCCCAGGGAAGATGGCAGTTTAGCCCATGTCAGCCATCTTTCAGTGTCCTTCTTTATTACAGGACTTGGCCTTGGGTTAAATACTGAGGATTGGAATCCTTGAAGATGGCTTTCTGACTCTCCTTTCTGTTTCCTTGAGGGTGGAGACACCAAAGACGTATTATTCCTTCCTTATCTCCTCATTCTTTTGTAGCTAGCCGCCTCCATTTCCTTGTCAGGTAGGGTTGGGTTTACAGTATGGTTACGCAGCCACCTGCAAGTTCTGTAGTCTGCAATTCCCTGTCTGCTTCATTTTCTATTAACTCATTCCATTTTTGATCGACAAACTAGCGAATGTAAACTCATTCTTCCAGCCATCAGCTTTATCAAACACACAGTGTACCATTATTCCCCCATCCAAAGCTACAGCCAGATCAGGTACCAGGAAACTAGGAACCCTGTCTATGGTCCAGAAGTCACAGAAATGATTCACGTGATAGCATCCTGTACCCATCCCTGACTAACATTAGCTTTCCCCTGTGGCCTTATTTGGCGTGCCATGTTCTATGGTTCTGCTATATACCCCCCAAAAAGCTGATGCTAGAATGCTCTCTGCAACAGTGTTGGGGCTGGGTAGGAACTGAGGCACTGTTCTTGTGGCTGGATGAAATGGCTAGCACACACTTTTCACATCTGGGTATCTGGAACACATTTTCATCTTTTGGTGAATTTGTCGTTCTTACTCAGTTCTTTGAGTTTCATATAATACTTGAGGATGATAGTTCCTGCATTCTCCAAGAATAAAAAATATGTCACAAGGGAAAAATATACCACTAAGATAAAGCTCAAGTTGGAATCAACTTTGAGTCATAAACTTTTTAAGATCATATTCTTTGACTTGGGCTTTATTGTTTCCCATTTACTGAATTAAGTATTTTTTTCCCCAGGAAATATAGCGTGAATTCCCATAAATTGGAAACCTTTGTTACTCTAGCAAATAGAAACCCCTATTGACTCAGAGAGATTGTCTGTGTGGCCTATTTTATTTTGTATATATTAAAGCATTTAATTTGCTTCATACAGCACTATGATTTCCAACCTGTTTTGAGTTACACTTTCTCATATAAATTTGCCAGCCCACTCTCTCAAAAAGCTGTCAGAACTGTTGAATTAAAAACCCCACAAGTTTCATTTTCTTTGGAGATTCATGTCAGCATTTGAAATAACTGCAGAGGCTCTTACATATCAGAGGAAATGCTTGCTTGAGTATGAGCAGTGATTTTTCCTGTTTTCTTCTCATTAAAAAGGTTACTTTGCTCTAGCTCTTAACACTTTTCCTTTCTCATTTCTTTACTCCAGTGCCTCTTGATGCCAGGGCCAGCTTCATCAGCTTAGCATCCAAATATCACCACACGGCTTTCGTGTCTAATTAGTCACTTGAAACTACGCTTGCCCTTTTAGCAGGACACCCAACATCTCCTTCTTGATGCTTGCTTGCCACTGAGTTGCTCACGACTCTTAAGGGCTTCCTTGATTCAAAGGGTAACCCTTTGTTCAAATGCCAGCGAAAAGAGAACAGCAGCAGGGAGCCAGTGACGGCAGGAAATGGTTCCCAGGATATTGGAGCCATAGTTGGTCTCAGCTGCGTGGATACACCCAGAAGTCCAGCTGCTCTTACTAGATACCACACACCTGAAACTTACGTCTTTCACTCTTTTAGTTTAAATGAACACTTCTCAACCAGTGTCGAGACTCCCAGGCCATTTGACAAAGTCTGGGGACATTTTTGTTTGTTGCAATTGTGTGTGTGTGGGGAGGGGGTTAGGTAGAGGAGGATGCTACTGACCTCTCTTGAGTAAGAGCCAGGGATGCTTCTGAACATCCCACACAACTTAGGACAGTTATACCCACCACTACCACCAGCACCACCATCATCACCATCAGCATCATTGTCATCTTTACCATCCTTCAGCCTTGTATGTGACAGCTGCTGGATTAAGAAACACTGTGTTTGCCAGGCTTTGGGAGCTCACTCTTGTCATCCTAGCTACTTAGGAGGCTGAGATCTGAGGATCATGGTTTGAAGCCAGCTTGGGCAGGAAAATCCAGGAGGCTCTTAAAAAATTTTTTTTTTATTATCTTTAAGTGGTTGTACAAAGAACTAGGAGATTTTTTTTTCTTTTTTTTCTTTTAAGCAACAAAAAGCTGGTTTATTGCTAGCTCGAGCTTGGTCCTCCACGCACACGGTAACCGGTAACACTAAGAGGCCCTGAGCATAGAATCAGCACAGTTTTTATAGTATTGAACAAACAACTTTAAGGAACTTTTACATAAGAAATTACATGATTGGTTAACATTTAAAGCAAGCTAAGCTGGGCAAATATGATTGGTTGACCTTTACAGAAAAATGTCCTTAGTCCATAGCTTGACCGAAAAGGGTTACATCTGGACCAACAGAATGCATGGCATGTCTCGCCCTGGGCTCTGAAGAACTGGTAACCAGGAGATTCTTAACTCCTATTAACTACCAAAAAAATCAGAAGTGGAGCTCTGGCTCAAATTGGGGGGAGGGCTGGCTTTGAGTAAAAAAGTTCAGGGGCAGTGTCTAGGCCCTGAGTTCAAGTCCCAGGACCCACAGCAGAAAGAGAAAGGAAGGAAGGAAGGGAGAAAGAAAGAGAGAAAACAAAGAAAGGGAAGGGAGGGAGACAGGAATGAGGAGAGAGAGGGAGGAAGGAAGATGGGAAGGAAGGAAGGAGTCTCTGGGTCTTTCAATGTGGTACCTCTATTGTTTTTAGCATCTGATGGGGTGGATCTCAGCTGTAAGCCACACCCTCCCATCTCCATACCACTGGAGTGCAGTTTTCACAGTGATCACCAATCCCCAGTCCATCAATTCCTTTTCTGTGTGCAGCATGGCTCTTTATGGTACCAAGCATCTTTCTTGGTGAATCAGTTTCAGTTAGCTCATTGCTCAGGTTTTAAGGCAGCTGGGCTTTTATCAGGAGAAAGCTAGTCTCTAAATTCATCCCCCCAACCCCTTTCAAAATTTCCTTTGCCAATTATTCAACGTACTGCAATGACCACAAGAGACATTAGGAAATTCATACCACAGTACATTCTTTTTTTTTTAAATAAATATATTTACGAAGGCATTTCACCCGAACTCTTTCATTATTATCATTTTGTAATCTTCAAGTAGTTGTACAAAGGAGTTTCAATTCCACATGTCAGTTTGTGAACACATTGTGTCTTGATCCACGTCCACCCTTTCATCATTTTCTCTCCAAACTCCACCCATCCCCTCAATTTCCCTAAAGAAAATTCTTTTATATCCCACTCCTAGAGAATGTGTCCACCGTCATCCATTTGCATGATCAGAACAAGCTACTCAGAGGACCCTCACCAAATACAACTATGCACAAAGAGACTTTCTGGGTACAATAGAGCAAAAAAAAAAAAAAAAAGGCAGACAATTCCTTCTGATTAAACCACACTTCT